ACCAAAATTAACCAATGAGATTATCTAGGCGAACTGTAAATTATCTTAGATCAGTGTTCTCGCTCTCCAGATTGGCTGGCAGTAAATGGAACAAAAATAGATGGAAGAAGGATGTCACTGAAGCAGGACTGAGGTCATAACGTCTATGATAACTTGAAAAACAAAGCCCCAAGTAAGAAGCTTCTAATAATAATTATAGTACATAATATCTTCTGACAAAGTCATAACACATTCTCAAAAGGCAGATATTTGCCTCAGAATACCTTCATAGAAAAAGTCCCTTCAAATCAATATTTTTGGCAGAACACTACATATTTAATACAGACTATTACAAATTCAGTAAGAAGAGATACTACTGGGGTTCTAAAGATCTACTTAGATGCCAAGCGTCTTCTATTTACATAGCAAGCTTAACTGAATACTTTACAAATGTGGGTATGTTGCTTGCAATAAGAAGTCAATGAAAATTTTTGCTTTAAAATCCACACTGCACAAGCATGCTATGTTTATTCTGTCAGTAAATAAAAGCAGCCTGAAGCTGCATGGATTGACTGTTGCCTATTCCCATTCAATCTATGTTTAAAGGGATGAAAAAATACTTACACTTCTTCATATATCCAGAACATAGGTGTTCAGCAGAAGTCACAATGATGTCAATCACATAATGACATCATTTGTCTGCCCTCAGTGGCTCCTAGACCTCTTTCTCTTAAAAGAATCTTTTTCAAGGGGTAGGGTGGGCTTTCAACAAAACACAACTTAAGCCATCCTTCCACACACACTTCTGTCCTAGCAGACCATTTCTTCAGAACCCCTTCTCTCAAACAAGTTCTTTCTGGCTAAAGCAAAAGTTCTAAAATTGCTATTTCGAAAATTGTAACCATAACATCAGATTTTCAGTTCAACCAGCAAGATCTGTGTGCAGGAGCAAGGCTGTTAGCACTTACTGAATCAGGAACAAAGAGTAAATCAGACATACATCACAGTACTCAACTCGTGGTAGGTTCTATTTGTACTGTACTAATTTCAACTGAATTCATACTCTAGTTTGTGGTTAGAAATGTTCCTAAAATAGTATATGTAAACAATTTAAAACCAATGTCAAAAAGTCATATTTAAAATAGGATAAAATGACTCCAAACAAAATAAAAATAGCTTTACAAAATATAAGCCATAAAACACTAACATTTACATAATCAGTTAGAAACAAACTAAACTGATGATAATATTAGCTTAAAAAACACATGGCAAAATCAAATACAAAACATGAATACACTGACAATTAAAAGGAAAATAAAAAGTTTTTGCTTTAAGTGAAAAAGGTTACAGGCAGTAGACATGGCTCCCTGGGGAGAGTAACTGAAAGCTGAAGATCCTCAACAGAAGACAGCCAGAGCAATATTTTCCAGGATGATCTTAGGATTTGGATACAGACAGTGAAGGCAAAGACAAGTTCCAGCTTTCCATTATCAGAACTGGTCCACCATGTATGCAACTATCATTACAGCATTTGCATGTAAGCAAATAAAAACATCTATTTAAAAAAAAGCTTCTCATTTTAAAGTTTTAAAAAATGAGAATGAAATATACATATACTTAAAAGTTAACTCTTTGCTGGCTGAAAACAGAATATCTAGCACTTTACATAGCTGCAATTTTTTCTTCAGTATTTTTTAGAATGAATTTCTGTTAATTTCAGGAATTCTGAACTTAAATACTGGGCTAGATTTGTTTTTTCAATTTCACCTTTGTTAAAAATGTTTGCAAAATGCTAGTAGAGGTTTCATATTTGTTTTGTTGTTAAACAGGCTGCAGAACATACATTCACATTTTGTGGTGTGAAAGAAGCTGTTTTATGCTGAGCCTCAAACTCAGAACTATAATCTAAATTATATTTGAAAAGAAAGAAATTTTAATGATGGTCTATGCTTCAAATTAAATGCCATTTTAACTTAGATCGTTACCAAAAGTATCAGTATTATATTTCAGGCTTTTTAACATTTTTGGTTATTAACTTTTGCTCTCTTTTATAAGAGTTTAAAATATGCAATTACTACAAATCCCAAAGCATCTGTGTACTACAGTTTTAAATAGTATATTAGGAACAAAAGTGTTATTTTAAGCAAATAAGGAAGATAGTTACCAAATCATGCTGAAGGCCTGAGACAGCCCCATTAAAGGAAATGGAAGTTTGCATTAGATGTTAATTTAAGAGCAGGTGCATTAATTCTGTTTCTTCACTCTTGAGCACCAAGCAGATATCTATGGCACTCAACTCTTTATCTTTCAGAACCCAAAACTATCAGAAGGTGGACTCTTTAAAAAGAATCAAATTCATGCATTGCTTCCCAACACTTTCATTTTTTGTCATGTTAATTTACTATGCCATTATTTCCCCCTGGAAATCAATAAAGATATCTAAAAATCACTCGCTGTGTTAATTTCTGTTAATTTACTTTTTTTTGTAACTTTTAAAGTATTTTTTCATAATTAACATTTTAAGTAAAAGTTTCATATTTTCTAAAATATTTCTTCAATTTAATGCTAAATTTTAAGGGCTTTTTGTTTTAAAATATTATCTATATCCCAGTTTTTAATTGAGTATCTAAACTGGGTCTTAATAGTTCAGTCACAGCTTTCATAAAATCAAATGGCATAGTTTAAAAAATTATACCGTTCTCTTAGTGCATACGTAAGTTTTGTCTGTTGTTTACGATACTTGTTCTATATTCTTTTGCATACATGTGTGGTAATTCAGCATAATGGAATAGTTAAGGGGCCTATTAACAATCAAACTGATAAAGCTGAGTAATAACACTATTAAGATAAGATCAATATCAGGGTTGTTCAGAATAATATGGCTTTTCATATGACAGAGGTTCCTTTGATTTAATATTCTAAATATGTCCAAAATTATTCCATATCCAAATCTGAGTATGTTTATAAATGTAAAAAGTGAGTAAGTAATATAATGCAAACCTACCTATGTTTTCTTGTAAGTAAATCTCACTGAATTTAATAGGGCTACTGTCCAGGAAACTGGGTAGTAGATTCCACCCAGGATGAAGCCACATGACAGAAAAATAAGGCCAGTATCACTATTTCTGACACTTGTAAACATTCAGAAGTCACATCCTTCAAATGATATGGACCAATGAAGCTGGAAGGTATTTGCACTGAACCAAACAATCTCGTATCTCAGTAATCCACCTCGAGGAAAGACCCATCGTGTCACAGGTGGTGCACAGAACGCAAGCTAAGGAAAGCACCACAATCTTCCACCATATGTGGAAAGCTATTTTATCCCAGAGATAATCATCTAATATGACTGAGCCCCCAAGATACTCAATAGTTCATAATGCAGTTGGGTATTTTACAAAAGCCCTCAAGAAAGGAACATGAGAAATTCTTCAGATATCACTCATTGAATTCCTGATGGACTTGCCATACAGATTTCTGTAAGTTCTTCTACACACAGCAACAAAATACACTTCAAAACACTACAAATCTGATTTATTTCTTAATATATTATGTAAGAAAGTACCATTTAATACACAAAATGTAAGTTTTAAGATATATGCAAACTTTCAGTTTGTTTGCTTAATATGAAACATAACGTGTGTGTGTTCTATTTATATTTTAACCATATTTCCTAAATTATTGGTTTAAAATTTTGTATGATTTCCACTCTGATATTAAATTCACAGCTAAACTTCTGATTCATTTACTCACTTAAAAGGAAACGCTTGTGATGTCATAGACAGAAGCAGCATGACATCTCAATTTTTCCAATACAACAGGGATTGTTTCAGTATCTCTGGTATTAGTATATACATAATTTGATTGTAAGATATAAATTCAGACCATAGCATTAAAATCTATACCCTCTCTGAATTACTTTTTAAAAGTTTAAATGGCAAAATACTAAACTGGAAAAAAGGCAAGAGACCATAATTAATGGCAAGTTGTACTTCTGGTGACTAAATCTAATATTTATATTTAGTGTAGCATCACAGAATAGGTTATTATTGTGGTCACAGATAAGAAACCAGCAAAATACTAATTCTAGGTAGAAATGGCCCAGAGAACCCAGGGAGCTCATAATGGGATTTAAAACTAATGGTACCAAGGCATGGCTGCTTGCCCATCTAATTTTCTTCCCATATTGTATTTTAAGAGATGTCTACTGAATTATCCAGCACATTTCACTTCCCCCTTGTCACCAATCTTACTTGCTGTATTGTGCACAGCTCCTCTAAAACTAGTTGTGTGGATGGACAGGGCATTTTAACTCCATCTAACAGTATAGAGCCTGAAGAACACTAGAACGTGTTATTTAGGGGTGTCCCCCCCCATCTCGTTGCTCTCCAGAGGACATTGGTCTTTTGTATCTTTTCCAATAGTTATTCCCCTTTCCCCCAAATTAACAAGCCCTATAATTAGAAGAATGAGAAGGGGGATTCCGTAACTCTCTTTCTTCAAACACCCAAGAGATCCCTTCCAGAAAGGGGGTGGGGGTGGGATGTACGGGTGGTCATTTTGGTTGTTCTGATCAGAAGACAATAATGGCCCAAACTTCTCCTAAAAGCATTGCATTAAGTCCCTGATCAGAAGCCCTTCTCAAAAAAAGTAGATTCTGACCAATCCTGCAAACTTTCAATCATCAAACTCACCAAATAACAAATTACAGCTTTTAAAGGGAATGAACCAACAATTGCCCCGTTGTTCCTTTTTGCGACATAATCTATACAGCTGGGATGGTTGCTAGAGAATATTTTCAATGGCGATCCAAGTTTTTAGGCTTCTTTATCTATTTTCCTGCAATGCCTATGGGAGGTACATTCACCCCTCCCCTTAACTCTGCTCAGCAAGTCCCTCTCAGGCACTCCCTTAGCTGCTTACGGCTGAAGTCAACTTTTGAACTCCACCTTTCCTGTATACTTGCAGTTAATGCCCTGTGAAATACTAGATTTCTGCTGAATTCCGCCCCCCCCCTTTACCTGCTGGCCAGACTCTGCCTGCAATGCTGCCTAAAAGGCATCAGGTGGTAGTTCATGGCGTCCAGAAGTAGCTTCTGGCAGACGGGGTCCGTACGCATGAAATCCACCGACTGGACCCGCTCGACAAGCTCCGGGGCCGGGATAAGGGCAAAGCGGAGACGCTTCATGAGGTCCGGGGCATACTGCATGCGGGTCTCCCGATCGTGCTCCAGCCACAGCACGGACATCTGGAAGAGCGCCAGCTCCGATTCTACCGGAGGAGGCAACGAGTCGAGCAGGGCGCGCATCTCCTCGAAGTTGAGCAGCAGCACGTCCTCCACAAGGTACTTGTTGGCCAGTTTCTTGGTCTCTTCGAGGCCGTGCAAGGCTGCGATCTTGCACACTTGCTTGTAGTTCTGCACGGAAATCTGGTCGTTGAGGAACTGCACGCACAGCTTGGTGACCTGCGGGATGTGCAAGATCTTGCTGACCGACAACACCTCCTCCACCGTATCCAGGGAGAGGGTCACGTTGGCTGTATACAGGTACTCGAGCACCAGTCGCAGTCCGATCGACGAGCAGCCTTGCAACACCAGGTTGTTGATGGCCCTGGGGCTGGCCAACAGCTTGTCCTCCGGAGAGGAGGAGGGCGTGCCGGGCTCCTCCTGCTGCTGCTGCTGCTGCTCCTTGGGAAGCAGGCCGTCCTGAGCACCCGGTCCGACGCCCAAGGGGTGATGATGCCCGCTCCCCCCGCCGCCGCCACCGCCTCCCCCGCCTCCTCCTCCGGCGGTGCTGGAGAAGAGCGATCGGAAGTACTGAGAGCATGAGGCCAGCACGGCCTTGTGGCAATGGAATTGTTGGCCTTGGGCCGTCAGGGTCACGTCGCAAAACAGCTGCTTCCTCCACAGCAGGTTGAGGCCGTGAAGCAGATTGTCGCTATGGCTGGGGTCGAAGGTAGACGTCCTGTCCCCGGACCGTGACATGGCGAGCAGCCTCAGCGCACCTGACTGGAAACCCACCTCCGACCTGGGCAAAGAGGGGCAAGGCGGGGGTGGTGGAATAAGGAAAAATGAGTGGTTGGGAGGGGGCACACACAGTAATAAACATGGAGCTTTACAGGCCTGGCTTGCCCATCCGACTTGCAAGAGCCGAGAGGCTTCCTATCCAGCCGTCCCCTTCCCCCCATCGCGGCAGCGTTCCGGCTGCATGACATTTTCTGCACCCCCCGCCAAGGGGCTTCGTCCTTCATCTGCAGGCGAGACGGGTTCCCTCCCCAAAGGGGGGCGGCGAAGTGGGTGGGGGTTGCGGGCAACTACTTTCTTTCCGCCTAGAAACCGAGGCGCGCGCGCCACTTGCGACCGGGCGGCTGTCTAGTTTGCAATGGGGCATTTCCCATGCAGGGGGAAAGGTAGCAGGCGGGGAGAGAGAAGAGTTTGGGGTTGTTGTTCTACAAGCGGTGGAAGCCCGCAGAACGGCTACCCAGTGACCCAGCAGGAGAAGGAAAGGATAGGAAAGGAAAAAGAAGCCACCCCGTCCTTCCAAAGTCCAGAGCCAGGCCATCACTTGAGCCAAGCTGACTGAGCTGCCCCCTTCGGATGCCCCTCCCCTTTCCCCCCAAACTGCGCCTTTCCCGCCTTGGCAAGCCACTGTGTCTGCAGAACGAGAGACGCTTCGCCTTGAAGCAGTACGTGAAAAGAGGGAGGGGAAGGTTCTCGGTGCCGAGCGAGGGGGAGCGCAGCCGCGTGCACCGAACTCCGGCCAGCCCTCCGCGCGCGTGCTGCATTACACTGGGCAAGGGGTGAGAGGCAGGCCACTTGCCTCCGCGTCCGGCGCTAATTTTGTGCGGGCTGGGTTTCCTCGGGGTGAAAGGCGGCGGCAGCGCTTTAACTCGGGCAACTCTGGGAAGTTCGGGCGGGGGAGCGAGCTCGGAGGGCCTGGGAGCGACAGGGAAAAAGGAGGAGGAAGAGGCAGGCGGGAAAGTGCCCCTGCGCCGCGAGAAAGCGGAAGCCAGAGCGCCCCTGCCAAAGTCGGCGGGACTCTGAGGGCGGAGGCGGCGAGGAATGAAAAAGACGAGCCTGAAAGACCTGCTGCCAGCTGCACCTGCTAGTGCTGAGAGGAAGGGGACCCGCGGTAGCCTTAGCCCGCCTCGGGGAGAGCGGAGCCCGCCACAGCACAGCAAGTGCCGCCGCCGCCGCCGCCTCTCCTCTGCAGGATTCCGGCGAGGACTGCTACTTCCATTGTACCGTCCCCTTTTTTCGGCAAAGCTGGCACTCCGCGCTTTCTCCTGCGGCCGGGGGGGAGTCCCCTTCTCCGGCCACTTTCCTTCCCTCCCTCCCAGCAGTCAGGTTTAAGAAACCTCCAAGAGCCTCTCCCTTTAAGTGGATCTGGTCATTCCTCTCCTCCATCCACATATACACACCTCCCATTCTCCCTCCCCTTTTTTCCTCCTCTGGCCATTTCTTACAATTCGAGTTTATTCTCCAAAGACGTGTGTGCAATACAAGTGCCCCCTCCGTACTTCTCGTCCACAGAAATCGCGCGCATACACACACACACGCATACACCGTCTTCACGACAATAAACAAGCCACAAGAAAATACAGCCAAGACGGTTAGACCGAAGGCCAGAAACTTACCTGCTTCACAACCAGCTGCCAAAGTAAAGGTTCACTTAAGCTCCCCCCCAAAAAAATCAATTGTCCTTCCTTTTTAAAGGTTTGATCGCTCCTTCAAAACAAAAACAAAAAAACCTTCTTGTTCCCAATTCCAAGCAGTCACTCTTTACAATTTATTTTGTCGTACATCATTTGATCACCATGAATTAGCAACAGCAAGAAAATGTACGAGAGGGAGAAGGGGAGAGAGAAAGAGAGAGAGCGCGCAGAGCTTTCTGCAAGAGAAGAAGAAGAAAAAATGTACGTGTGACAAATTATGCTACCAAGAAACAACACATCATTATCCTTGGGCCTGGGGCTCAGTGAGTCGTAACGAGAGTAATAGGAAATCCACGGTTGGGGAGAGAAACGGTCGTGCATGGCCAGTGGAGAGAGACCATACAGGGGGATGGATGCTGGAGAGACTCGCAAAATTATGGCTCAAGGCTATTGTAAAAATTGTCGAGCGTAAATGACTGCGATTTCAAACATCTTTGGAAGAAAGAAGGGGAGAAAGCGACCCCCCCTCCCTTCCTCTGCCTCTCTCTCTCCTCTCTCTCGTCTCTCTCTCTATAAAGAACCGTCAAGTTTTAGTGCGCATTGCTAATTAGTCAATTTCTCTCTGCCTTCACAGGCTGGCGACTTTGCTGCTGAGCTGAAACTGCTAATTTCTGTGACCAGCTTTTTTTCTTAGCTGTGATCTGGATGAATGAGTAGCTGTCTCACAGAGATGACAAAAATAAACTCTAATCCCCCCAAAAAATTTCCACTACATCTTTCTCATGCATAGATTTATGATCTTCAGGCACCCAGTGCAATATGCAAACTTTGGTGTCTGTACAGTATGCTGCTAGATTCACACTACCCTGTATTTTCTGCCCCCTCCCTTGTGATGGAAACTCTGATCTCGGTATAAGAGATATTGCCACCCTCTTAACTCTATGTTATTAGCTTGACAGGGTACATCCTCGCTCATGCATCTGTGAAAGGGGAAGATGGAGGAACGGAGGTAAAATGAGGCTAGTGCATAGTATTGGTACTATAACTATTCCATTTTTAATAGTTCATCTGTACCATCTGAGATTTATGCCCTTGTTTGAAAGCATATTTTCTCTATCATTTTGTCTGGTTAGACAACCGTCTCTGTACTTCACTGTCAGCTGAACAGATAACAGATCAGAAGTCACTTTTATTATCGGATTAGCATATTGTCAGATTTCTTTTGGAGTCTAGAGACTTTGCAGTTCAGGAGATAACTCAAAGAGTAGGGAGGTGGCTACTCTTTAACAAAACAAAGCCTTTCAACTTTTCCCTTGATCTGGAGACAGTTATCCTCCTTGCTGAGGGACACATTTTTTCCTTAGTTGCTTTATAATAGTTGGTTGGCGATATTTTAGGCTATTCCTTCTATCAGCAGGAACTCAGGCAGAGGGCAAGGTCTCCACACTTGATCCCATGATATATTACCCTCCCAGATTTACAGCTCTGTGGTCAAATTTCCAGTTGCCCCAAAAGAAAATATAACCTTGAAGAAGTTAAAGGAAGCTGAAGAACAGCAATTCAGAGGAGGTTTGGAATCAAAAATCTTAAGAATTTGAAGTAAGATTTTTGAATGAAAAGATATGTACTTATTTTCTTCTTAGTTTGCAGAGGATGCAAAAGCATATGCTGAGAGGAAGAAACCAGCTGGAAGCTGAATTATAAAGAAAGCGGGAAGACCCTGCTTGTGATGAGGTCACTGATACCATAAAAATAGTGCTGATGTCAAATGATTCAAATTACTGTACACTTCTTGTAATATAATTTACATCTTGCTTTCTCTAAAATGGCTTTTCTTAATGCATTATCCAATGTTTTGGGCTAATTGCATTCACAATTTTGGCCTTAGTCGACATCAGCCTTGGTCAACCTGCTGCAAAGCATCTATGCTGGACTATACCTCCTCTAGTTCCCACCTAGTATAATCTGGTGAACACACCACCTGGTCTAGTGAGTCTAAGGAGAGCCTTACTTTCCTTAGACTTTCGGAAGATCATAAGACCAGGTCTGACACATTTGCCATGTTAGGTATTTCCTATAAATGTGCCAAATGAAAAGCATAGAATGCTATTTATTAACATATTTACCACTTCAGTAGCAACAATGGTGGATGGCCATCTTAGTGATAAACATAGTATTCAAAGATACTAACACTGGAAAATATTTTAGAATTCTTCATGAACTTATGTATCATATCCTATACTTAACTTTCAAAGAGATGCTTTAGAATTTCTGTTAAACGTAGTAAATTCTTTACTGCATTCTAAGTGTTATGAAATTGAAGTAGTTTCAATACTACTTTCTGGGAAAATGCTTGTGAGTTCGCCATACACATTCTCTGGAAACAATGTTAGACCAAACAGAATGAATCGATCTAGGAAAGTTCTTATATTCATTTTAATATATATAACTATATAATGTATCATATGATTTCCACTTTCATTGTTTTCAGGTTAGAACAGGACAGGTAATTTTTTGCACTAGGAAGCAGGATGTTATCACTGTGTCACTAGTGAATGGGGCCAAATTTTAATTTGATTTTGGGGATCTCGCAGGTTTGTTTTTCAGTTTTCTTGATTCTGTCTGGAAAAATGGGGAAATCTAACACTGATATGTTACCACATTAAAGCATTATAGTCTCAAGGGTCTCTAGAAACTGGAAAGAAGGATGGCAGGGACCATATATAGACCACAGATTGCTTTCATATTCTAGAACGTATAGCTAGCTTTGAATCTTTTGCACAGAGTGTGTGTATGTGCTTGTGTGTTATTTTATCTTGTGATTTATTGATTTTAGTTTATTTCTTTTTTCATTGTGCAGAAATTTTCTGACCTATTCAGCTGAGCAACAGTTTTCCTCTCTGCCATAGTTATGTTTTGCATATCCAAAGATCTAACAAGTATCATTCAGTATAAGGAGCAACCATATACATTGGGTTTTTTTTAAATTTTACTAATAAATGTATACAAGACATAATGCTAAATATCGACCGAATGTTTACTGTAGGTTTCTTGTGCTCAATAACTGTTCACCAAGAGGGCAGTGCAAGCTAAAGAACTTTTTCCTTTAGTCCTCTCTCAGTCCCAGCAGTTGCTCCATTATTACCACTCATGTGGATACATAACTAAAGAACAGATACTGGGTGGCCATCATAGGTGTCTTTTCTGCTAAGGAATATAGGGGTTTAGATCACACTTGCACAATTACTGTTGGTAACACTATTACGTTTATGAGTCATGTCACATTTATTTTGATACTTCTGCAGTCTAAATGGATGATCATGCACCCATTGTGAATGCACAATTAACATCTTAAAAACATTGTTATGAGATTCACAACACACTTTGTATTATGTTTTTCAAAGAGGGTGCATGTAATCTAACAACACACCAAATGGAAAG